ATTATTGGATTGATGCGATGCACTTGTATAAATTATGGTCATGATAAAGTTATAAAATCATTTTAATTTGCTAACTTTAATAAGTTTAAGAAAATGCAATTACAAAATTACAACTCGTTAGTATTAGCCCAAAACTCTCTAATAGAAGGTTCTAACTCCATTTCAGAAAAAGGATCCCAAGAAGGGTCAGAATGCCATTGATATTCAGCAATCAAAGCAGACCTTTTTGCAAATTGTTCTCCAAATATATCCGAAATCCAGCCAAGTACCATATCCATTCCTATCAGTAGTTAATTTGTTATGACAAAATAAGACGCAAATATTTGCAAGACTTAATAAGCAGAAATAATTACCAGCAGATACTTGAATGAAAAAAAAACAAGATATAATTATAGATGTTATACGTGAAGAACGAAGCGAATAATCCATATTTACCTCCAGCAGATGTGTAAAATTTTCCATCAACAACCCATCTAGCATGTTTAATCCAATTTACCTTTGGACCTAAAAGATACTCAATTATTGAGCATGACATTAATTAATCACGCAAAATAAACAAAGGACTGATACTAAACCGCAAGAAACAACCCATTCAAAGGCCATCTTGTTTGATGTAGCTTTTTTACCATTTAAATGACCTGTGAAATTCATAAGAAAACGAAAATAAAGATTATAATTGATAAGATAATTTTAGTGAAGTAACAACCTACCCACCCGTTTTTGCTATTAAAGCGCTTCCGGTACAAACCCCCAAAACATATTTTACTTTTGGAATCCACTTATCGATAAAATTTATCAAGGTTGAATTGTTAATTTCCTCCCCGGTACTCAAACCACCTTATAAAAAGAATTGAAGGGTACATCGAATTCCGGACATATACAGAAAATACAGAAATAGTATTTAAGATACCTGGCACTAACAGAACATTAAAATCGGGACATTCATCGAAAGAATAATCCGACAAATTTTGACATTGACTATTTGATTTAACATTTCCTCCATGTTGAGAAATTGTAATAATCTTTACGTTTAAACCATCATTTTTTAATGAACCTAAAAAACGAATTGTGCCATTAAAATCCAAAAGGTCATAATCAGGGTAAAGAAGTGCACCGATCACAAAACTTTTCTCATCTGCCATTTTTGATAAGAATGCAATTGAAATCGTGATTTTAAATAAAACTTCTTTTTTGGCTATTTTTAAAAATAACGATAAATGTATGACATAAAATGGTTGTGAATTTCTTTAATTAGCTGTATAGGTAGGTAATATTTTCTATTCCGGGAACTCCTCCAATTTCCGTGAATTCTTTTCAGAAAAGTCACGTGAAAAATAATATTAGCTTACAAGTTACCTGTTATATCTTAGTACGTATGACATAAAATGAATCATATACGTAAAATAAAATCAGATCTAAGATCAATCTACTAACTATAATAAGCAAATTACTTTCATAAAATAAAATTTTATCCAGTAGATACATATCTAGACTGTTTAATCGGTACCAATCCCAATTGGACATTTACTATTGTAATATATAACTTATCGTTATTTATAACGATAACAATTAATTTACTTGATAGAGTAAGTCCCTTGGAAAGGGTTTAACGTTAAATCTATTCTAAAAATATTAAAAAAAAAAGATAATCTCGAAAACCAGTGATTTTCTGGACTATGGCGGTGGTCAATGTTTAAATAAATAAAAAATTCCGGTTTGAAAAAAGACAAATTTTTATAGAGTAATCAACACCCATTTACTTTAATCATGCATTAATCATTTCTTATTTTACAATTTTTATTCCTATTTTAAATTCTTATACAACATTCAAAATTGGATAGTGACACGTATGTGCTTATTAAAAATCAAATCTTAATCAAATATGCGAGACAAACGTTTTATATCCTATACATTGAGGCTTACTAATTATTATTTAACTCGTTTAAATTTCCTCGAAAGGCCTTCCATCAATTTCTTGATCCTTTTCAATTCAAAGAGATATTTATCTATAATGACTTCTCAAAAAAATCATAAATTATGCATGGTTCCTGGTAATGATTTTTTTTTTTTTTTTTTCCCTCAGTCTGATAAAATCTTTGTCATTAATTATTTCAATTTTATAATCCGATCAATAGGTCCTGTGGAATTCCATGAAGATGTATTGTCATCAATGTCCACACTTGCAATTTCTCATGTTTCTCCTTCATTTATTCCTGTATTTGGTGAAAGCATTGAACTTTTGCGTAAATTATTTTTTACAAATAAAGGTCAACCTTTTGTCATTTCAGGTTCAGGAACTCTTGGGTGGGATATGGTTTCTTCAAATTTAATAGAACCAGGCGAGGATGTATTGGTCTTAAACTCTGGTTACTTTGGTGATTCGTTTACTGTTTGGTAAATGCATTTTAATTTCTTTAATCTATTAATCAAAATTATTAAATCATTTTTCGATGGTGTCAGAGGTCGATCATACTAATTTATATTTCTAAATATAGTCTCGAGACATATGGCGCCAAAGTTACGCAAGTCAAAGCTGAAATTGGTGATAGTCCCTCTTTAGAAGCAATTAAGGAAGCACTCTCTACAAAAAAATTCAAAGCTATTACTATTACTCATGTAGATACATCTACTGGTGTACTTTCTGATGTAAAAGCAATATCTGCTTTGGTTAAACAAATTTCTCCTGAAACATTGGTTATTGTTGATGGTGTATGTTCCGTTGGTTCTGAAGAAATTCGTGTGGATGAGTGGGGTATTGATATTGTTTTGACCGCAAGCCAAAAAGCTATTGGCGTTCCTCCAGGATTATGTATTTTGATTGCAAGCGAAAGAGCTATTGTAAGTTTATTTAAATTAATTAATAAATTATTATATTTTTTAACTAAATTTTTGATAATTATTATCAGGATGTATACAAAAGACGCAAAACTAGAGTTACGAGTTATTATGCATCATGGACTAATTGGCTACCGAGTATGATTATAATTTATTATTATTATTATTTCTAATGATTGTATAATAGAGATAAATTAATTAATTAAACATTTTATCATTATAGTCATGAACGCTTATGAAAACAGGAAAGCAATGTATTTTGCTACACCACCAGTTCAATTAATATATGCACTACACACAAGTCTTAAACAAATTACTTCAATTCCGCTTGAGAAACGTTTCCAACAACATAAAGATGTCAGCAATCATATCAAAAATTCTCTTGAGGAGTTGGGATTGAAATTTGTATGAATGTCTTTTTAATTACATTATTATAATATCATAAATTTTTAAAAATGTCTTATCTTCTCTTCTAATTTATCTCAGGTTCCGAAAACAAGAGAAATATCTGCTAATGGAATGACTGCCGTTTACTACCCAGATGGCATCAAAGCGACTGATCTTCTTCCTAAAGTAGCCGAACATGGTGTCGTAATTGCTGGTGGATTACATAAAATAATTGGTCCCAAATACTTTAGGGTTGGGTAGGTATTCATTTTATACTTGGTTGTCATTAAATAATAAATAAATTAATTCGTAAATTTCTCAATCGTGTTTCACTTAGCCACATGGGTATTAGTGTAACCGAACCTCACAGACAACATATAGAAAAGACAATTGAAGCTCTTAGAGTAAATTTAAAAGAATTGGGCTATAAAGGTGCAAATTAGGAAGAGTCCATTTTGAAAAAAAAAAAAAACTTAATCCCGATTTATTAGTCTCAAAGATTATATACTTTTTTTTTTTTTTTTTTTTTTGAAAAAAACTACTTTAGACTTTCAGAATAATAAATTAATTTTTAGACAGCCAATTGCACAGAGCCACCTTTAAATAAAAATAAGTTTTTTTGTTTTCTTTTCTGAGGGGTGGGTGTATTATTACCGTTAGAAAATAAAGTATTCGTGATTTTTTTTTTTTTTTTTTTTTGTCATAACAATAACATTTAATATATTTTTTTTTTTATACTTTTTTATATTATTAATATAGCAAAAATCACGAATACTTTATTTCTAACTGTAC